AATATATTGTTAGCATATAAAAATATTATATATAGAAAAGTTTTTTTGATAAAAACCTTTTATTAATTAAATCTCACAGTTATTATGATGTCAAGATCTCTCAAGGTGAGCATCGCAACTGTGTCAGTCGGTAGTCCCGCCGGACGAATTGAAGCGGCAATAGGAAGTAAATAAATATAGCCCTTGAAAATCGTCTCCATTTAGCAAATAATTTCGAATATTACATTAGAGGAATATAACGAGACCAAAGAGATTGTTCGTATTACGGTTTCTCCTGTACTCTTGTATTACTACCGCCAGCGCAAAATAAAACTTGTTAGCTCTCTCAAAATTGGCGTGCAGATCTTTTGCCCAAAATCCTTCGACTCCCTTCGGATAATTCCTTCTCCGATTCAAAATATGTAAGAGCAACCGATCTCGTGCGGACAATCGATCACGGGAAGGTTTCTTTTTTTTCGGAAATTAGCGGAAAATTTTAGCGTTGGCGACCCATTTCGCGAATTATACAGGATTGCCGTACCTGGCGCCCAACTTTCAAACATTAGCTTTCGAGCTGGGTCAGAAAGCCGACGGTAATTGACGCGAGAAATCGTTGCAAAACATAGAGAATACGTAATGCATTTAATCTCAGCGAGAAATAAGTCATCGATCGACATCGAAACAATGTCGAATGGACGTCGACTTGGCGGTTTCGATGGCGATTCGACATTGTTTCGACCTCGATGAACGAGTTATTTTTCGAGTTATTATATGCTGCAACTTTTATCCTTTCGATACGCCGTTCACAAAATTTCTTTGAGTGAAATATAATAAAAAAATAAAAAAAAGAAAATAAGTCATCACCGAGTCACTCAAACTTTTTTCAGTTATGTGCAATAATTTTTAATAACTTTCCACTCATATAGAATGATTTTTCTGAATCATTCTGAATCATTCTGAATTATTGAGATTCTGAATCATCAAATGAGAATTTTCACTAAATATTGAGAAGTGAATCTGATATACATACAGTGAATTGCAAAACGATTTAGATACAACGAAGTTGAGCTAACTACATTGTCAAAATTATAAGTCATTACTACTGACAGACTTATTAAGTAATTTTATTATATATTGCAGTGGAATATCGGGAAGAGCGAAGAGGTATATCGACGCGTACTCAGAGTGAGAAGTTGAAAATTTGTATTTAATCGTTCTTTTACAAAGCCGTACACTGACGTTATTCGCGAGCTCCAGTTCTACGCGGAAATTGTAAGCGACCCGCAAGAAGTCGCAAGAAGTCTCATAAGAAGAGTCGTAAGAAGAGCGCACACTTTCTTTCGCAAGGTGACTTATATAACCGTCAAGACAATTCTCGATCAGTCCTTCAGATTCCTCATCGACGATTTCAGAAGGAATCTAGAAGGAATCGTCGATATCGCCTATTATTGAGTCGAGCAACAAAAACTGTTTACATTGACTCTCGTTGTCTCGAGTACTCGATAATGTCGAGATGATCGCTCGCGATGTGAATATGTAGATCGAGATTCTGCTTTCAATACTATTATTATTATTATTATTATTATTATTATTAAGTTCTTTACTATATTTTTAATAATATTATTATTGCAAAAGTTGCTCGGTAATGACTTTCAATTTTGCCAATTTCGTGAGCTTCCAACTTCATTGTGTCTAAACCTATTAGCCTATGTATTGTAAACTCAAGATTAACCTATGTATTGTAAACTCAAGATTTTTCAAAGTCATAAGTTGCATTTATTTATCGCATCTTTGGTAATTCAAGTTTGAATTATTTATTAAAATAATAAATAAAAAAATAATATAACAAATAACGTGTGTTAACCTTAAACTTATCTTTTTTAATATTCTTTTTAACTATCCTAACATTCTTTTATTAATTGCGTAAAAAAATATATTAAAGGAAAAATCCTCTTTATTGAACTATATGAAATGTAAAGCTTTGAAAATGCCACTTCTGCTTTGAACACGTTCCCGCTTTTTCGATGAATGAACAATCATAAGAAAGATACAGCTAGAAACGCTCCCGGCAAGAAAATATTAAAAATATATAATGACTATCGATTTCTATCGATGTTGGGAATAATAAAGTATCAACGGCGTCGAGTATATATCATCGTCACAGCACATATCACTAAATTAAATTAAACATTCGTTTGATTATTATGTTTTCTTATTATGTAAACTTGTTAGCGTTTCTCGTTGCTGTACAAAGTTCAGTACATGCTTTTCCGAATAAAGTATATATTAATTTCCTTGTAATTTATTAGACATCGTTTTAAACTGTAAAGTTAGTGCATGATATGCTATATAATAATAAGCAGATAATAGCATAATTTCGTTAACGTATGTGTCGTGTACGTAAATATCACTCTTTAACACTATAAGTACAAATAGAGTAAAAATGACTTGTTACTTTGTTAACTTTGTATAAACATAACTGAAATATTTATAACAATGCACTTTATATTTTTTACTTATTTTTTTTTAATAAAATTGCAAAGAATAAATAAATAAATAAATATTTGCTCTGTCTCTCTCTCTCTCTTTTTCTCTCCCCTTTCTATAAACGTATCTTTCCAAAAATGTCTTTTTAATCATTCAGAAGAAAATAGATCGTTAATCATCAGTAGTTTAGACCTTTCATTCTTTACGCACAGATAATTTAACATCACCTCGGTATCGAGCATAAAGCGATTAGTCGAATACTGACGGGCTTTAAAAAAGGCTCCGCCTACTCGAGCGGGGAACGTTTTGTATCATATGTACAGATACAAGTGCGTAAAAGCCATTGGTTATGTTAAGAGAAAACTGCTTTGCAACTGTAGTAAAATTCGTGAATCCGATTGAAGTTCTCAGGCTATGTTTACAATAGAAGTCGTAAAGTCGTAAAGTCGTAGATCCTAAGAAATTGACAAATTGAGAATTGATTGTGATTTGAAAAATTACAATCGATTTTTTCTGAACCGCATGGAAAATAATGAACTGTGTATTGGCCAATAGTCTTTTGAATTACAGCTTAATGATTTTACGACCTCTATTGTAGACGATCCCTTAATCTTAATCCCTTAATTTGAATCAAAGAGCATCTATTAATTATAATAGATTCACGAATTTTACGATAGTTGTAAAACAACTTCTTCTATTGAACGCATCTATTGACGCAACTGTCTTGAAAAATATTTGCAAACAGCACTCGGTTTATTAACGTTGATGTGCTTCGGAAATCATTATAGCTTGTATCGAATAATAATTCGTAATGAACGTGCTATAATATTTTAACCTTTTCGATACGGCGGATACTCGTCATGTAGCGTGACTCAATGGTCCAAAAAAAGGAATTATATCACTTTATTGTTCAAGTCATAATATCCCACATTACTTCACTGCATAAAAAGTCTTATTTCAAAAGTATTGTTTCGTATTTACGAAATTTTATCATGAATTCTGCTTTGTAATAATCTTGGATTGGATCGGGGGTCAATATTTTTCAGTGCGATACGGGGAATAGAACGTGAAAATCTTGTATGCCTCTGCATCCAAAAACAAATAGCAGAAGTAAATTTTTTTTTAATGCATTTTTCGCATTTATTTGAATTCTATCTATTGTGATTGAATGCGAGGGACGTTTTGATTTAAGTAGATTCTTTTTAATGCGAAAGTTCATATTCGTTAAAATTTTGCCACTTTGGAAAGAGATTCAGGTACTTTTTAATGTAAAATTAAATATACTTCACTGTTTGACAACACAATTTTATAGACAAATGTTTATTAGTTTAATTAATAATTAGAAACGATTCCTTATAATATAAGAAAATTAAAATTTGTAAACATTTTGAATGAAAACATTCACCACTATCGTCTCATATTCAGTGCAATGAAATTTAATACAAACCAAAAGTTTTCAATTCCTTCGCTGGGGCCAGAAAACAAAATTAAGAAATATTGAAAAAATATAAATATTTTTTAATTCTTTTCGATCCGACAGTTTATGCAGGATTGTTTTATTAAACAACCAGAATAAGGTGATACATACTGTTATATATGTTTATGTAAGGTGTTTTCATGTTTATAATGAGTTTTATTCGATTGTTTATTGAACGTTTATCCGATAAGAACAGGTATATTGTATCCATGTGGAATCTATATAGTTGACGTAAATGTATTGTCGTTTAATGCTCTGCAAAAAATGTTGGATTGAGAAGAATTAACAAGTATTGATATTTTTAAATACTTCTAATTTCTGCTTTCTGATCCGAACAGAAATATTGAAAAGTATTGATTCGCATTAAACTTCATCACGCTGAATACGAGATGGTAGTGGTAAATGCTTTGCATAAAATGTTTATAAATTTTTACTTTCTTATCATAAAGAATCATTTGTTCTTTGTAATTATTAATTAGACTAAAAAACATTTGTCTACAAAATGGTATTGCCAAACAGTAAAGTATATTTTATTTCGCCCTTACGCATTGAAAAGTATTCGAATTTCCTTTCAGAGTGGTAAAATTAAAACAAATACGAACTTTCGTTTAAAAAAGAATTCACTTAGCTTAAGACATTCCTTGTATTCAATCGCAGTAGATAGAATTCAAGTTAATGCGAACTCTCGCATTGAAAAAGATTCACTTCTTCTGCTAATTGTTTTCGGATTCAAAGGCAAGATTTTCACGTTCTATTCCCTGTATTATAATGAATACATATACTGAAAAGTATTGGTCCGCGATTCAACCCGAGATTGTTGTAAAGCAGAATTCACAACAAAATCGTGTCTAAAAAGTTGCAAAATGATAGTTGTTAACATATATTTTACATATTATTATATTAAGTATAAATTCAAACCTATATTTTATATATAATTACGAGTAAAGGCATTTTAAACGCCATTGTCATTGTCTCTACCGTGCTGCAGTACAATCTGGTTTATAGAACACGCGCCCGTACGCGCGATCGTAAAAAATCGGCAACTATGTACCTAGCGTACGCGCACGTTTTCTAATTAGTCGGTGTCTGGCACTGCAACGAGAGATGTCGGCGAATGATTCTGTGAGTATATATTTAATCGTTAAATATTAATTATATATATATATATTATATGCAACAAATATGTTTTATGAATTTTTCCAAAACGAGCTGAACGCGGTGATGACGACGTCCACGACGGCGGCGTCTGTGGGGGCTGCAATGGCCACGACGGCCACGACGGCTACGTCGGCCACAACGGCTACGACGGCCACGACGGCGACCGAGCCAATTATATTAACTGTAAGTATGAAAATCTGTATATGTCTATGCTGATCTATATATTATATTAAATTATAATATATTATATTAAATTGTAAGTTGTTATTTAACGCTTTGTCTCATATTTTAAAATTAACTTATTGTTATAGCCTAAAACACTGCAAAATATTATTAAAGCAGCTGTCATGGCTGCAGTAGGAAGAGGAAGAGGGAGAGGGAGAGGAAGAGGCAGAGGAAGAGGAAGAGGCAGAAGCAGCGGCGAAGACAGAGGAAGAGGCAGAGATGGTAGAAGGGGAAGAGGCAGAGGTAAATGGAGAGGAAGAGGCAGAGGTGAAAGAAGGAGCAGATACGATACATTTGGTATCAACATTTTTCTACACTAACACACACACACATATGTATAAATATTAAAAAATATATATATATATTGTAAAAAAGAAAATTCCACAAATTTCATATTTATTCATTGTCAATTTCCGAAGTTCCCAAATCATTTCCTTTCTTAATTACGCGAAACGCAGTATGTGAAAGATGAAAGATAAGATCGCCGCTACCTCGCCTCGTGTTTACTGCCGCGCGCCGCTCAGTAGTGAGACAAAGACGGAACGATTGTCTGTCGTCTGTCTTTTTCTAATCTACTATCCATTGCATGGAAGTAGTACAGACACGAACCTAGGCGCATTTTATTTTTATCACCGCGAAAGTGCGCCTAGCGGACGTAGTTTAGGCGCATTTTGGTCAGATGGCGTATCTAAAATGCGCCTAACCCCGAAATACGGCCGGTGGCCGCTCTCATTCTTCTCTCTGCTTACAGTATGTGTGTGATGACGTCACGCATACGTCAAAAGAAAAAACATGGCGGCGGTGTAGGCCAGACTCGAACCTGGGTCCCGCGGTTGCTATCGAGCGCTCGAACCTTCTAGACCACCGTCGCCTATTGCTAGTAGACGTCACGTTACGGGTAAGATGGCGACCGTGACGTCACGCATATGTCAAAAGAACAAACATGGCGGCGGTGTAGGTAGGGTCGAATCTGGGCCCCGCGATTACTATCGAACATCTACCGGACGTCTCTCGAACGTCTATCGGACGTCTCTCGAACATCTATCGGACGTCTCTCGAACGTCTCTCGAACGTCTATCGGACGTCTCTCGGACGTCTCTCGGACGTCTAATAATCATCATACCGCAAATAAAGAACTGTATTTTTATCAAACACAATTATCATATAAAATTCTAAGAGGTGAAAGGGGATAAGCGTGTTGCAAGAAACATCTGTACATTTAAAATAATATTTTATTAAGCGTCGTACAATTCTCTCCAAGACCACCAATTGAAAATGTTTAGTACGTTCTGTAAGGCACAATTTTTCATATGATTATTACATCGAAAAGTATTATTCAATTTTTGCAGAGAAGGCATGTCGTCATAATCGGTGTCCACGGTCCTAATGATCACGTTGCTTCTCACATTGTCATCCAGAAGGTGTAACAACCATTCCCGCTTCTCATGCCCCTTTACATACACAAGTTGAGATGCGACATCTTCAAGCTCGTCATACATATCACCCACCACAGCGGTAGTAATCAAATGTTCAGCTCTGCAGTATTTGACGGTTCCATCTTCCCATCGTAATCCATGATGATTAGCCGTTAACTAGTAGGCTCTCAATTTGTCTGATCTTGTGAGCAGATGCCATGGCATCGGACTCGTGAAGATGTAGTGTGAAAGAATAGTTCCATTCTTCAGTATCGCCGCTTCTTTTACAATAAATCTCTTTCCAACCATGTACCCTTGTAGATCCACAAAAGTCGGCACATCCATGGTGAAATATTCTTCGACACGTCCGGGAGAGAAATGTTGTTTATAGCACTTTGTTGCATGTATTATTCTTTTCTGATGTTAGTTAAGTTTGCGCACCATGTTGGTTAGCGGGCTGTATTCAACTACATGATCATGCAGGATGAGACAATATGCGGTAGTATTCGCCGGTATATTCTCCTTACACTCAAATTCTATGCGCACATCCACAGTAGCACTCTTGACGGACTCATTTTGACGCGAGCAATCGATAACCACAAAAGCTAGCCGCAGAAAGTCGGTAGTTGTTAACCATGCCTCAGCATTGTCGCATCCATAATACGATTTACGAAAACGTCTATACATATCGTAAAGTACGACGTATTTATTTTTTGTAAAGTCCAAATTCATGTCGTACGGATAACACTCTGAATTCAGATAGAGCTTCACGTTGATCAATTTGCAGTCATTGAAACGAGTTATATTTTCCGACATGACATTCTTCCGGCCAGTCTGCAGCGCAAAGATAACGTATCGAGGTTTCTCCAAATTAGTAGCAGTTTTGACGGTCCACAAGTGTTTGGTCGTGCTTTGCAGTAGAGGAAATTCATACAGATCCCACGAGCGGAAACTCATACTCAGGTATCGTCCATCCTCCAAAGTTTTCAGCATGGAAAGTTTATTGATATCGTTCAAGATTACGTGAGGCATTCGCCATTGTATCTTGAACAGCTCAATCTTAGGATCCAGCGCTGAAGATCCTAGTAGACTGTTGTTGTCGCTGCGCGATCATAATAGAATCAATTCGTGACGCGCGTTAATCACTATACGTTTGTAGTCTTCACAGAATCCTAACAAAACGTTGAGCGGTACACAAAAGTTGAAGTACCCGTTCGGCAAAATAGTGTCAGTCGTATCCCACGCGACATTTTTCGTGATGGCATTTTTGTCTGAAGATATCGATACATAGTTTTTGAGCGTTGAAGTTATTCCCACGTTTCTGTTACGATCAATCTCCACACCATCCAGTTCATAACGGATCTCATCAAACATGAATGCAACGCCATTATATCCCAACGTTACAGTCGCACCATCGACTGCAACTTGTTTCGTCACCTTCCCCTCGACATAGAGATAACTCTCCCATGGCAATATGTATAAATCCTGCTGCTGTATGGGTATTCGTATCTCGTCGCTATGTCCAAACGTTGTGTTAGCGTATGGATTGTACGTATGTGTCTCAATCTTGACGATGCGCTCGTTAAAGACCGGTTCATTTCCAATGTTCAAAATGTCAATCATCTTTCTCAATCGTTTCGTACGATGAATCCCAGAGATTTCAAAAATTCAACGTTCAACGCACTGAGTTTCTTTCGAATGAGGGATTTTGTACTGTTAATTGCGCGTCTCGTAAAAAGTATATTTCCAGCTTGTTTCATCTGTCCCACTTGATTCACCACAAGCATTTCATAGATTACGTTTATTATCGTCGCCATCGTACGTGCAATCTAACGGTAATCTCTTCTCCTCGAAAATCGAGCGATTGTCCTTCTTGATCAACTACACGCACCGTTAAATCTGTAATGCTCCGTGCGATGATTGGAAGATAAATGACATGTGTCGGTGTTTCCGATATCTTATATCCTGGTGGCACCTTAGGCGAGAATTCATGTATCGTATGTACACGCATACTGTTACTGTACGCACCACTGACAACGCTGCATTCTATACGAATGATATTCACGTTGATAATCTTAATCGGTGTGTCCGATTCGTACCATCGATGCGGTTCTAATATACAACTCGATGAGAATCCCAAAAGCGAGCCAATGTTGTTTGGTTTGTTAAAATTTATTCTATAAACACATTTTATTTCACTCCTCATCGTATTATTATTGGCACGAATTATTATAGGATATTCATTCTCGTCATCTCTATATGGATTATTTTTGGAACGCACTGCTTTTGGAGAATGTGAAATTGCACGTTTCAGATATTCGTATATGGCACGCAATTCGTAAGATCCTTCGGGAATCGTAATTTCTTCATCGTTAGCACCATAGTAAAATTTATTATTCGACGAATTTACGTTTGGTATCGTATTGTATGCTTCGATATCCGTTAAACCGAGCTCGTAATCACCATCGCTCAAATCTATAGCGGGAAAGTAGCTCACCGTAAGGGTGCTACTGTTGCCAGTCAACGTAAGCGTTAGCGACATGTTTGCAAACTGCCGAACGAATACTGACTGCTGTTAGTGGAATGTCATCATCATCATTTAAATTGATCCTCTACCGTTTGGAGAAACTGCAAGCACAATTGTCCGCAAATGCTCTGGTTGTAATGTTGATATGATGTGCGATTGTACAAAATTTTCACTACATCTCTCTCAAGGTATCGAATCAATTCCTTGGGTGATCGAAGATTACTAAAACTGTCAAAATATACTGCGCGATTTCCTCTTTTCGCATACGCCACCCAGCGAGTACCTGGTCCCTCTGTGTTGTCTAAATTTACAATACCGCTCTCGTTTTGACGTACTCCATCTATCAGTAAGGCGTCACGCATGAAAACACCTCGAAAGAAAGATATACGCATACGTCTCGCTAGTCTTTCCAACTGTACATTAGTCATTGCACCCGTGGGTAATTTTAGCGTTTCTTTGACGTTTTTTTTTTCTGCAGCGCCTTTCCCGCGCTTGTACGGAGCAAGATAGATTCCGTGACCTTTCGTAGCGTAACCTTCCATTGCGCGATGATGACGTTTTAACTCTTCCAGCTGGCGTTGCACGGCTTTGCCATCATTCACCGCTTTTGCGACACCCGCCGCTCCACCGACTAATGAACCGAGAACTCCCAGTAATGGTAGAACTGGTAAAATACCACCCCGTTTTGCTACTGGAAGTGCTCGTTTTCGGATTTTTTTCTTGGACGACTTCTTTTTCTTCGTGCCCATGCCCATGCCGATTTTCGTTTTGGCTTTCATAGCAGCCCAAACGACTGCAGCAGCAGCTTTCTCACCTAGAGTTGATTCATTCGAAGTTATGCGTTTCCGCGCTTTCACAGCGAGAATCTCATCCGCCGCGTGTCGATCGGTGAGATTGTTGCTACGCAAATAGGCTATATCGTGCTCATGACACGCCGCGTCCAATAAATTAATGCCTTGGTCACCTCTGACCAATCGTTTTACCAAGCGAGTTCCAGGACCACAAAATTGATATCCGGGAATGTGTAGTTCGATAGGAAGCGCATTTATCGCGCGATTCAATAGACCACTGCCGACTTTGACTTTTGTCGACGACATTCACTACAGTCCCTGATCAGCGGTGCTGGACCGTCGATATGTGTTTGCTGCCACGGACGATTGTAATGTTCCATACACCGACGATACTGCTGAACCTCTGGATTGACTCTTAAATGTTCCGGGAGTCTATCCTGCAAATCGTCAATATACTTTGCAAATTCGCGTAACAGAACAATCTTCGGTATATATTTCAGTTGTTCGGAAGTTAGCTCTCGAATATCATGGGTATCTGTTAACAGGAGGAACATTTTCTAAACTGAGTGTTTCCAAGATTGACGCGC